CCATCCATCCATCCATCCATCCATCCATCCATCCATCCATCCATCCAATTCTAAATTGATGCAAGTAGTTATTATGGTCGATTTGTCTAATGGCTTGTAACGTTTACACACTTCGTTTAGCAAAAAATATTTACCACTGTTACTTTGTCAGAGTCAAAACCTAGATAGTTTGAGAACAATTGGTTTAAAGGGTAAATTAAGAATAATTATGTTGCTTGTCTATATTACATTGTGCTTTAAGTCCCATAAGAACACTGCATATCCATTAATTATGTACTGTACATGAACTGAGTGGTAATAGTACTTGATGCAAATGATGAAATCCAATTTCAAATAGTTTTTCTGAGTTATATTGACTTGTTCAGTTTGAAAGATTTTTGCTTTACCAGTTTTCCAGATTTATTGATGTGCAATTCTGAAATGCGAGTCCAAGGTCAACGTAAACAATCTGCCAAAAACCATGTGGAATATTATCTACACTTTTCTCAACAAATCTGAGAATAAATATATACTATTACTGTACTTCAAAATCATCAGAGTAGTCAATCCTAAGGGGCTCTTCTTTGGACGTTGCCATGAGTGACCTATTTTCATTCACTTTGACAGTTTCCTTTAGTGAACAGTGCATGAGTCGGCAGCCATGCACAAATTTGGCTTACAACTTTTTACAATAATTTGGATTGTGTGGTTTAAATAGCTTGTTTTTTTCCACATGAACTAATGTAACTTTATTGTTGTGCGATATTTACCTATAATTGACACTAATCTAATGGGAACTATTTAAATTGCATATAGTGTTATCATCACTCTACCATGCCCTTTTTTGATGCGCTCATGAATTATTGTTTGCATTACAAGGTCTTTTTCCATGGAAAATCATCAGCACTCTATATGTATGCAGAGTTATAGCAGCCAAAGCCCTTTTTCTCTGATGTGTCTATGTTTGGCAGTTCAGCAGAAAACGAGCTGATCCCCTTATAAGGTGACATAAAAAGTGAAATATTAAATGGAGACCCCAGTATGAGATGGTTTCCATAAAACAGTTTGCCCTCTTAGCAATAAGATAGCCTTTTTTATGTATTCTTGAAAAAAATGACAGACTACTCTCAACATTATTTGCTTTTGCCATTATTCTATTGTGTGACATGCAGTTGCATGACAGCTTCGTATAATAAATAGCTTATGTCACTCAGAAACATAATTTATTTTATGTAAAATAATGAAACTCTTTATGCAACAAGAACATCCTCCTAATAACAAATAAATAAAAGAACCACATGAAATATTTAATTTGGTGGCATTAAGGAGAGCAAAATATATATTATGATCCTTGAAATTTTTTATTGACTCTATAAAACTTACATTTTATATGCTATTTTTATTTCTTAAGGTCAGCAACCCCACAAGCTGAATGGCTGAGGAGTAGATTAATCTTGAAGTAAAGTACAGTACATGACTTTGACAAAGGAACAAGGTGTACATGTATTTCTTTTTCAGTCACATGCCTCCACGTGGACAGAAATATTACTACAGCTTGTGCATTCCATGAACTCAATGCCCTAAAGCAATGTGTCCAAATGTCCTTGGTTTATTTACTTAAATCCATTATTAGAAACTCTTACATTTGAGTTTTAATAATACAGTTCTTATAATCTGTTCTTTTTTTATTGTTTAGATTTAAATTTTTCATTTAGCAATTGATACAGCATCAATAGCAACTACTTTGGCATGCTTGATGTTACATTTTAAACTTTAGCTATATGATTTAGACTTGTTTATGTGGATATGTGAATAAATAACCAAATAAAATCTGAATGGCACATCAGCTTGAACAAATAAACTAATACTCAACTCCTTTTCAATATTTTTTTTAATCATAATGGACTAAAATGATTTTGAATGCACAAATTGACAAAACAAATAAAATATTGTTTTAATTTGTTCGACTGGATTGTTATTGGGTTTTTTTTCAATTTCGTCAAAACTTTTGTTTACAGGTAAAATCTTCAGGAGCTTTTATTCACCTCATCATAATCAATAACTCAATGAAACTGTGATCAGTTTACTGTAAATCACCAATAACATAAAATAACTTTATAACAGGAAGTATAATGCTGTTCAACGAATATGTACGATTTACAAATAATATTAAAATCTTTAGTAAAATAATAATAATAATAATAATTTTATGTTTGATGAAAAGATTTTTAAAAATTCTTAGCCTGTGTGAATTGCAAAACACAGAATCACATTAATGGAAATATGGAATTTGAATTGTCTGAAGACATTCAAAATTGATCATGTATTGAAATAGTAATATTTTATTTAAAAAAAACGATTATAAAAACATATTCGAAGCCAGAGATAGTTTGTAAGTTAGCGTAAACAAATATAAAAAGACATTACTATTATTCCTAGTTAAATACACAGCTCGTGACGTCATGTATAAACGTGAACTGGTCAAGTCTCGCGAGATTATCGTTAGAGGACACAGTTGGTTGTAACATGTGTGACCGCGTTTATCAATTTTCGCTTTAACTGTGGTCTTTTTTTATTTTATTTTATTTTCCAGATTTCTTCGCAAACTTTTACAAATATAATTATTGGTAGCTGTTTAAAAGCTTTGCCTCAGAAAATTATCCTGAGACAATTCGTATGAAACTTATTAGCTAAAGGATCAGCTAGCATCTCCTAGCTGCAGATACTTTTGTTAAATTGCTGTTTTGCATGACATGTTTAAAGTCCGACTGCTGCTGAGTTTAGCTAAGTACCAACAAACGCCAAAGAAAAACGGTAAGTCTACCCAACACAATGAAATTATTAATTTTACAGATGTAAATCAATCTTTTCATGTCGCTTTCGTTGAATTTTGGGCTGAGATGAATGTTTACCAGGCTTCAGACTCAATCAGACCAGGCATATGAGGACATAAATCCATTTTGTTTTTACTTCACAGGTTGCCTTTTTAAAGTCTTGTCCACTCTGAGTCCTGAATCCACAGCTGATCAGCTGCTAAAACGGCCACATGAGGAGAATAAAGATGAGGATTCTGTTGAGAGAGCCACCAAAAGACTAAGAACAGACGAAGAACACGCTGAAGATGGCAAAAGATATCCTAAAAAGAAAGTGGCTCTGCTTCTGGCATACTCAGGGAAGGGGTATTATGGCATGCAGGTGTGTTGATCATTCACTGTGCTCCTTCTATAGTTAAATATATTCATAAGTGGCTTCCTTTTTTTTTTTTAGAGGAATTACCGAAACTCCCAGTTTATCACCATTGAAGATGATCTGGTCACTGCTCTTATAAAATCTGGATGCATCCCTGAAGATTATGGTGATGAGATGAAGAAGATGTCTTTCCAAAGATGTGCCAGGACAGATAAAGTATGTGTTAGTGCATGTTAGGTTTGGGAGAAAAAAAATCTATTTTTAAATAATCAAAAGGAAATAACATACTCCAGTGTCAGCAATATTATTAATATTATATTTGCAATATTTTATTTTGCTTGCACTAACAAACTCCTGGCCAGTTTAAGAGCAAAACTTGTTTCAGATGGTCTGTATCCATTGATAGTTTGAATTATAACATTCCACTGATGAAATAAATTTAAATGTGTTTCAAATATTTACGATATGACACGTTTCATTTGCATTTATTTAGAGTGTTTCTGCTGCTGGTCAACTGGTTTCTCTGAAGCTGCGGTTGATCGAGGACGTAATCGAAAAAATCAATAATCATTTGCCACCACAGATCAGGGCGCTCGGTAAGACTCTTACTGGTAATCTTTTCTCGTTGATATTTTGACGAACAGCTCCAGGATGTTTGTATGATGAGATGCTTTTACTTTTGTACCCACAGGGCTTAAACGAGTGACCAAGGGTTTCAATTCCAAAAACTTATGTGACGCTCGTACATATTCCTACATGCTTCCAACTGTGGCCTTTG